GCTCCACAGGCTCAAATTTGAATGTTTGGATCTCAGTTGGTGGACTGTTTAGGAAGGATTAGGAGGTGTAGCCTTGTTGGAGAAGGTATGTGTCATGGAGTGGACTTTGTAGATTTCAAAAGTCACTGTCAGGACTAGTCACACTCTACTTGCTGCCTTTGGATCTAGACGTAAGTGCTTACCTACTCCTCCTGTGCCTGCCTGCATGTTGCTATGGTCACACCTTGATCATGGACTAACACTCTGAAACTGTAAGCAACCCCACAATTAAATGCTTTCTTCTATAAGAAAACATGACCATTGTGTCTCTTTGCAGCAATAGAACAGTGACTAAGACAATAATAGAATTCAGATTTTCTGATGAGGCTGAAGGTTGAGGAAAGTCCTTTGATGGGTATAATACATAGCTAGAGAGTGTGAGTGTGGAGTAACAAGGGTATGCACAAGAAATACAACACCTGTATTATAAGCATCCCCGAAAACGGTGGGCACGTGCCTCACATTCAGAATTTTGGAAGTGGAGCCAGGCAGCTCAGGAGTTCAAAACTAGACTGGGCTCCAAGAGAGCCTGGCCCAAACATTTTTCTCTTCTGCTATAGATACATAAATACTATACATGCATCCAGAAAACATAGACACAAGATCAGGCCTCTTCAAGGCCTTCAGAGCAAGCAGCATTGGATCCATCCCTCCTGCCAGAGCAACTACACATCTGAACAAAATCTATGAGGCAATTGTTTCCAGGCACTGGATGCAGGCAGTGCAAGGCTTTGGACTGGAAAGAAGTGAGGAAAACTTGAGTCCACTAAAAAGCATAAGAATACCATAAGTAGTAAATAGTAAGACTTATTTGTTTGCTTTTGAGTTTTATTTGATTAGTTGGTTTTGCTGTTGTTTTGCAATAAGGTCTGTTTTGAGGTTAGCGGCCCACATTGGGTATCTTCTGCTATTGCTTCCCACATTCATTTTTGAGCCAAGATCTCTCAGTGAACCTGAAGCTCACAATTCAGGTAGACTGGCTGGCTCGGTAAGGCCCCTCTGATTCCACCACCCCCCATCCCTGAGATTATAGATGAACAGGCCATGCCCAGCTTTTTACTCGGGTACTCTGGACTTGAACTCAGGTCTTCATGCTTGTGTAGTGGGCATATAGCCCACTGAGTGATCTCCCCAGACCTCTGCATCATATATTTCAAGGAATTTATCCATTTAATCTATCAATGACTGCATTTAACCATGAATTTATCTATAATCTTCTTTTAATTTTGTGATATTAATTTACTTATTTTGTGTGTGGGGGTGGGACATATGTAACATGGTACATGTGTGGAGAACAACTTGGGAGAGTCAGCTTTCTTTTCCACCATGTGGTTTCAGGGTCTCACTATGTGCCCTGGCTGTCCTGGAACTTACTATGTAGACCATGCTGGCCTTGAACTCACAGAGATCCATCCTCCTGTCTATGCCCTGGAAATGCCTTTTGTTTTGCTTTGTTTCGTTTGAGAAGGGTGTAACTTGTCAAGCAATCTTCAGCCTTGAATAAAACTCAGCCTCTTAGATCTCTGGGATTACAGGCCTGTGTTATCATGCCCTTGGTATTTTTATAGTGTTTTCTCCAGAGTGCTTTATAAATTTCAGTTATCATGGTCTATTTAGAAAAAAATATTTTTTCAACTTCAGATTAAAAAAAAAATGAAACTTGAAAGTTTGTCTGTTCCCTCCACTCTTGTGCTATTGTCATGTATCTTATTTTGATTTATATTTATACTCCACAATACAAAATGATTTTTCTGACAGAAGAAAAAATAGGTAATTGAAATTTTTTCTCAGGCTGATCATTCTTTTTTTTTTTTTTTTTTTTTTTTTTTTTTTTTGAGACAGGGTTTCTCTGTGGCTTTGGAGGCTGTCCTGGAACTATCTCTTGTAGACCAGGCTGGTCTACAAGAACTCACAGAGATCCACCTGCCTCTGCCTCCCGAGTGCTGGGATTAAAGGCATGCACCACCACCAGGCAGGTTGATCTTTTAAAACTATATAAATATAAATATGTCACCTTGATTTTAACAAAGTCCAAATCATTTTCAATACAGTCAGGATTGAACAGTGTCTATGACATTTAATTCAATTACTTATTTTAGTCACAAAGACAAGCATAAGCAGATAGAGAAACAAACAACTGATTCTTGGCCATTTCCACAAAGTGGAAGATTTCAAGGGCTTGTGAAATTGAGACTGTCCAGCTTGCTTGGTCGGCCAGGCAAACAGAAGAAATCAGAGTACTGGTCAACGTGTTAAGCCACTTAAACTGGAGGCAGTTAAAGTCCTTCTGCTATAATAGAGCCAGGTGATACAGGAGGATGAGATAAAGCAGACTTCCTCCATCCACTCTCATCATGTGTCCTGTGCCAGACTTAGATAAGAACATCCTCACTGAGCAAAGTTCAAGGCTACCCTTCCCAGAGTCTCTCAACTCTCCCAGAACTATCAGTCCCCTTGAGGGGGATCTATAAGTAAAGATGAACAGGCAGCTTGTCATATATATATATATATATATATATATATATCCATTAGTTTAATTCACAAAATAAGTTGGAAAAGTGGCCAGAGATGTAACATAGCAAAATCTGCCTCCTGTATCGTATCAACCTGATTTGATTTCTATAATTAGACTCACTGCATTATTGCAACTGTCTCCCTTTCATTTTACGTAACTACGAGGTACTGTAGGTACACCAGCAGCAAGAGAAAATGCATAGGCAGGAGTTCAAAGAGGACCTGAGACCTACGCTCCAGAGTTGATCGTTCCTGCAGTAAATCATAGCCTCAAAGTCGGGATATCTGTCTTGTCTGCCAATGAAGCCTTGAGGTCCTGAGTATTCTGTATTGTTCGTGATTAGAAAACTAAAGGATGTGCAGCCACTTTTCCAACAAATGCTGATCCCTTCGCTGAGCTATTTTGAGCAGTACTCTGCAGATACGGTGCCCAGCTGGGGAAATATGCTTCCTGCTCTTTTACTCAGGGCCAGTTCTTGAGCTCCCAGGAAGATGTGATCCACCACTATACCAAAAGCCTGAAATTCATCATTTGCTGAGTCCCCAGGGTCTGTGCCAGCACTTCCTGAATACAAAACTGTCAAATGTTCTTCATGGCTGAAACTAGAAAGCCAAACAAGGTAGAAGTTGTCTTTAACACAAATAGAGCCATTGAGTGACTTGACCTTTTACTATGAGAAGGCCTGTTGACCCCTGAGTAGTCATTTCACCTGGACATTAGTTCGGTGTTTGTGTGTGTCTCCTCCCACCCACCCCCACTTAAATTTTGTGGAAACTGACCTCCAAAGTGACAAGGGCAGGAGCACCTTAGGGGACGTAATTAGGCACTGAAATCATGAATGGTATTAATTCCTTATAAAATAGGTCCAAAATAAGTTCAAGGAACCTCATTTGTCCCTGCTACCATGTGTGGACCTCACAATAAAGTGGCACCTATGAACAGGACCTGGGCCCTCTCCACAGACTCAGTCTGCCGACAACTTGATCTTGGACTTCCAGTCTCTAGAACTATGGGAAATAAATGCCTGCTGCTTATAAATCAGAGATACATACACTGCTCTGCTGACTAAAATACCACTACATTTATAGTAAGTATATAGCCAGCCAGGAGCCACCAGGAGAAATCTGGATTTTCTGAGAGACCATACAATCAACTCAAAAGAAGCATCCAGCCTCCTTTTTATAAAAAAATGTTTTTGGTTTTTTTTAAGTGCGTGTGTGCGTGTGTGTGTGTGTGTGTGTGTGTGTGTGTGTGTGTGGTGTGTATGTGTGTGTGTGTCTGTGTGTATGAATGAACAACATTTGTATGAGGATGTCCTCAGAGGCTGAAGAGGGTATCAGATCCCTTGGAGCATGGCAGTTGTAAGCCATCTGACATGGATGCAAGAGCAGAAAGTGCTCTTAATCCCTGAGCCATCACCCCAACCCCACTGATGTCCTAAGTTATCCTTTGCACTTGAAAATGAACAAACACACCTTCCTACCCACTGTGTACCCATTCACTCAAGCCCTGGCTCTAACCAGCAGCTTGCTAAAAGCATCGCTTCTGATGGGACTGTGGTGTGCATTTTAGACAGCAAACCCTGAATCTTAAAATTGTTTTTGTTTGTACATCTAGTGAGCCTAGAGTCTCACTGTCTAGGCTTGCTCAAACTTGTGACATTTCCCTCAGCCTCCTGAGTGCCAGGGTTACAGGTGTGTCACCAGAATGCCTGGTTACCTAATTAAAAAAAAAAATTATCTGATGAGAAATCTGTGATAGTCACTCTTCCAATTTACTACGCAGATCATAATAAAGAGATCAGCAGGGTGGACGTCATTTTGGGTTCCCGGAGTGCAGTCACTGGCAGTGTGCTTAACATGTACATGGTCCTGATTCCAGCCCCAGCATCATAAAGATGGAGCAGGAAGAAGGGGAGGAGTCTGGGGAAGCAGGTAGCCATTTGTGACAGTCTGAATAAAAGTGGCCCCCATAGATCCACAGGGAGTGGTACTAGGTGTGGCCTTGTTGGAGAAGGTGTGGCCTTATTGGAGGAAGTGTTTTAGTTCTTTTGCTGCTATCTGCAGATAAAGATGTAGATTTCTCAACTCTACAGCACTACGTGTCCCTGCTAACTGCTATGGTTTCAAGACAGCCCTAATTAAAGGTTTTCCTTTCTAAGAGTTGCTGTGGTCTTGTCTCTTCACAGCGAAAGAAACCCTAACTAAGACACCATTCTTACTCTTTTCCTACATAACCATCCTAGTTACCTCAGACACACCGGTCTCCTTGCTACCTTATGTTTTATCTTCCTCAACGGCATGTCAAGAGACATTGAGTCTGGTGATGTTATAGTCCCCACAATGACTATGAACTATCGCTTTAGAAGGCTACTGAATTGTTGGCCATTTTCCTATCTGGATTCCATACCTTCCCCGTGACTAAACACGGGGCCCCAGAGAGGTACCTCAGTGTCAGAGTTGTTGCCATTCAGAGCCTCAATGTTTGGGTCCCTCCAGTCTTCTGAGAGTGAAGGGATGTAATTGTCTGTCAGAGCATCCCAAACCCTGTAAACAAAGAAAAGCTCTCATTAGCACACATCTGCGGCCTGACCCCGCCTGGAGGACGGAAGAACAGAGCCAGGCAAGAGACAGGCTGCTGTGTGTGCCAGGCTGAGATCATCTGCCTTCCAGCATGCATGGGCAGCAGCTGAAACACACAATTTGAGACATGGGGGGGGGGGGCATGAGCATAGGACCCTGTCCAGAGGCTTCAGAGGGAAATGTAAGGATTCAGGCATTATGCTGGCCTGCCCCTGTCACCTGGCAGAATGCACTCAGGCAGTATTCTGGTCAGCCCAGGGTTCCATGATTGTGTAGTCTGGGCGCAGGTGCAAAGGACCTCTTTAAAAGACAGACCCCTGCTCACTTTCGCTCTTTTCCAGCCCTCTCCCCCTTGTTCTCCTGGGGCAGCAGGGCTTTTCCTGTCTCCCTCTTCTGTCTTCTATCTCTTTACCTCTTTTCTCTTTCCTTCCTCCTCCCTTCCCTAATAAAACTTCTCACTTAAGCTCTGTTTGCTTGGTGTGTTTGTCTCCTGCCTTGGTCACCCTCGCCCCCTGGAGCTTTATCCTAAGGAAGGCGGCTTTATCCTAGGGAAGGCGTTTGGTTTTTGCTTAGAAATCAATCTGTACCACAACCATACAGTTTGTTCCTTTCCCGTAGTCTGAGAGAACCAGAGGGTAGAGGGAGGGGTCTCATTAAGATTGGATAACACATTCCAACTTAAAGGGCTTCCAATCTTTCAGGAATCAGCTCCTTGATAGCTAATGTAGGCAAGAGCAAAACACCAATTAACTGCTCACTTCTTTTCAAAAATGCTCCAGGGAGCCCACAGCAACACAGCCCTGCCTAAGGCAAATGTACAAAAAGGGGAAAAAGCCAGGGATGGTGGCACCTCTAACCCCAGTACCCGGGAGACACAGACAGTGGATCTCTATGAGTTTGAGGCTAGTCTGGTTTACATATTAATTTCCAGGCCAGCTAGGTCAAATAAACACACACTCAATTAAAAGGGAAACCAGAGGATGACTTTGGGTATCTTCTATTGCTCTTCATCATGCTTTTTGAGACAGTCTCTCAGTCTCTGGTTGAACCTATCATTTTGGCTAGGCTAGCATGGCCAGTGAGTCGCCATGCTCTACCTGTCACTAAGTTTCTACAGGTACTCTGCTGGTGCACCCAACTTTCGACATGGGTGCTGGGGATCCAAACTCAGCCTTATGCTTGTGAAGAAGCACTTCATCTACTAAGCCACCTCCCCACCCCAGAGCCTGCATCCTAAACCATGGGTGCTATCCCAATTACTGCCAAGCACTATTAACACTCTATAAAAGCCAAATCCCACTGGCATTGTGAAACCAAGAGGAAAATGCTCCAGCCACCACAGCCACTGGAAAGGTCGTGGGCCTGCTCTTAAGGCACTATGTTACATTAGTGCTTTGGGAAAGAGTAATCCTTCAGCTGTGTCCCTATAGGAAATGCTGGAGAAGTGAGATTCAGCAAAGTTCAAAATAGGCTGTCTTTTGTTCCCGAGGGGAAGCTGGAATCTCAAGGGACTGCACCTCTTCTATTGACCTTGAGACTGCTTAAGTCCTGAACCTGACAGCTGGGAGCTTTTCTCCCCTGAGTCTTTAGTGACTACTCTGTTCTTTATTTTGAAGACAGTTTCCCTAAGCACCCCCGGTTGGCCTGGAACTTGCTATGTAGATCAGGCTGGCTTGAAACTCAAGAGATCCAACTGCCTCTGGGGTTAAAGGTGTGTCTCACCACTCCCATCAACAAATGAATTTTCATGCTAATTCCAGATTCTAGGCAACTTCCCAGCACTGTCCAGAAGATTTCAAACCATCATCATTTTCCCTTTCCTTTCTTTCTTCCTTTTTATCCTTCCAAGTATGCAAATGACCTTCAAGCTGAAGCTGCTCCTGTCTCTTGCATAAATAACTCTTCCCATAGACACTCAGGGGCCCTTTATTAACAGCCACAGCCCACTCATAAGCTGTCCCTGAGCATGGGCCTCTTCTAAGTTCTACGTGGAGACACATGAATTCTCTACTCACAATTCTCCAGGCGCTCCTTGTCACAACCTAGAAGGCAGTGCCCGCAATCACCCCACCCAAATGTACAAATTCACGAATGGCGGAGGAGGTGGCCTTTGAACTTAGGTCACACAGCGGCAAGCCCGCTCTCTTACCCACAATTTCAACTCTTCACGGACGTTGGAATAACAAACCAAGTTTCAAATCATAAGCTGGAGCAGCAATTTAGACACCAATTCTAAGAGCAAAGTCCCCACTGGCTGACATTATTCTGGCTGGGAGTCCACAGAAGGCAAAGGCAGAGCATGCCAGCCAGCCAGCCAGCCTCAAGAATGGGGAACTGCACTTCCCTGAGGGAGGCTGGGTGTCTATTTGGGCTTCGTGAGAGTGAGACAAGGTCTCACTACACAGCCCTTGCTATCCTGGAATGAGTTTTGTAGACCAGGCTGGCCTCAAAGCCACAGTAATCTCCCTGCTTCTGCCTCCCCAGAGCTGGGATAAAGGTCACCACACCTGGCTACTTTGAGATTTAAAATCTTACTTCTCAGGGACAAGGATGTAAAGCTTTTGTCTTGTATGTGCACAGGCCTGGGCTCCCTCTCTAGAACAAAGAAACAAACAAACAAATGCCACTTTCTAGGAAGCGTCCTGTCATTTACTCTTGGAAAAGGAGAGGCTTTGCCTGTTTGGAGGTTCTCAAAGGAGAGCGCAGTTACTTCTATATCCTTGACCAAAGCACAACTTCCTAGGGGACTTCTGGGAAGGTTCTCCTCCTTGACAGTTGATTTATACAGTTTCTGGAGGGATCCATGTGGGTGATGAAGGAGGAAGGGGGCACTCACCTAGCTAGGCCAGATTGGTTGGCCTAGCTAACACTGGTAATCAGTGGTGTGGCAGATATCACAGATAGATTGCTTTCCCATACAAGCAGAGAGATTTTACAAGGTCTCTTCACTTTTGTTTACCAAATATGCTAGATAAATCAGGTTGTCTCCATTCTTACCATGATGCAGTCTGAGTGTGAGCAACCCCAATGAGGTAGATTTGTACAAAGACATGTGTATAAGTTGCAAGCTGGAAACTGGCAACACACCATCAGGGCTATATTGGTTCTAATGAAGACAGAAGGTGGGTGAGAGCTGTCCATCCCTATTTTCCCTTTGCTTTGGCTTGGCTCTTCACTTCAATTTGTAGTAGCTCCAAGAGGTTCTAAATCTCTGGTCCCTCTTTTATAACAAGGGAAAGGAGTGATTTGCATATATAAAGAAGAGGCTCCAGGTTAGTGGAGGCATAAACCCGTAATCTCAGTACTCGGGAGGTTGAGGCAGGAGGACCCCAGGCCAATGAGGTCTACATAGCAAGATCCTGTTTCAAAAACTAAAAGGGTGCCAGGTGGTGGTGGCAAGCACTCTGGAGGCAGAGGCAGGCTGATCTCTGTGAGTTTGAGCCAGTTTGGTCTATCGAGTAGGTTCCAGGACAGTTAGGGCTACAGAGAAACCCTGCCTCAGAAAAAAAAAAAAATTCCAACAAGACAAAACTGAAAAAGTAAGGAGATGAAGGGCAGAGGAAGAAAGGGAACACATGAGGGAGACTGGAGGAAACGAGAAAGAGTAAGAGAGAGGAAAGGGGGAGATGATGATTCTGAAACAGTTTCCGAATTCAAAACCAGATAGATAGATAGATAGATAGATAGATAGATAGATAGATAGATAGATAGGGGATATAATACATACTATTTAAACTAGCTTTCCCTTTAATTTTTTAAACAATGGTCTTGTACAAATAAGACTGTCCTTGAACTGATTATGTAGCCTTGAATTTGTCATCCTCTTGCCTCGTCCTCCAGAGTGCACAGGTGTGTGCCACCATACCTAGGCAGCTCTCTTTAATACTGGAGTCTCTATGCCTTGAATCAGAGAGATACTGACAAATTCCATATTAGCCACAGGGTTCCAAACTACAGATGGGAAGACTTGTGGGCAATTACTGCTATTCTTCTGTTCTGTGCTAGCGGAATTTCATTTAACTATGAATCTTCTTGTTGTTTTGGGCTTTTACTCTTTATCTCTAATTTCACTCAAAACACTTGTAGCTTACTTGTGGATGAGACATCCCTCTAAATAGTAAACCTGCGCAGGTTACCACAACAACACTAGAGAAGATTAAGGACCAGGTTAGCCTTTGAATCATCCTTTTCCTTTGCTTAGTCACAATTCCACAGCTGAGAGATCTGGATAGTGCCTGCAAAACAAAGTATGCAACATGATTCTATCTTATTTTGAGAATGTTTTTTTGTTTGTTTTGAGACAGGTTTTCTCTGAATAGATTTGGAGCCTGTCCTGGAACTAGCTCCATAGACCAAGCTGGCCTTGAACTCACAGAGATCCGCCTGCCTCTGTCTCCCGAGTGCTGGGATTAAAGGCGTGCACCACCAATGCCTGGCTTTATTTTGAGATTTACTGAAGTTCTATATACACTATATGCCTAGAAAGTGCAGTTTTGGCTTCTCCCTTCTCCCTTTTACTTCCCATATCCTCTGCCTCTACTCTACCTCTAGCTCAACAATTATCCAACCCTAGTCTGTTAGCTGGGGCATAGATAAGGCAGCCAAAACAGAAAACCATTGCTAAGAAGCTCAACAGTCCCATGTGATGGTGATTAAGGTCCAGCAGCCTCTGCTAATGTGCCAGGTGGGAACGAGAAGCTGCTCACAGGGCTTTCACCTTTAATAGGCAGAGGAAGCATTTGGATTGCAAAGAGATGATTAGCTGGAAGCAAAACAATAGGAACTGGACTCATTTTTAAATGCCATTTTCAGAGCATGTACTGAATGAGGGGGAAAAGCAAAACAGGCTCTCTGCAAGACCTTAGGCCTGCTTCGTCAAGAGTTCTGGAGGTTTCAAAAATGAAGACCCATACAACAGAGTATGAAAATTAGGATTCATAGCCTCTTTGTTTTCTGGTGCACACACACACACACACACACACACACACACACACACACATCTAATAAAGCCCAACAGCTCCAACAGCTTTTTTTTTTTTTTTTTTTTTCAAGTAAACTATAACTGGCCCAGAATTTTGAAAGAGTCAATTGGAAACATTAAAACTCAAATGAAGTATACAACCCACAGTTACAGCTCTGCTCACCAGAGTGGAATGTCAGCACTCCGGAGGCAGAGGCAGATCTCTGTGAGTTCAAGGCCAGCCTGGTCTACAGAGCAAGTTCCAGGACAGGTTCCAAAGCTACACAGAAAAACCCGTCTCAAAACAAACAAACAAATAACACACACACACACACACACACACACAAAGTAAAAACCAGAGTGAAATGTAGTATGATCATGAACTAGCATAAATTAAGGAGAAAAGAATACCTAGAAATACAATGCGTGGACCTACAAGGTTAGTTATTAGTACTCATTCAGTACATTGACTAGGTATAATACTTCATTTAGAAACACCATTTGATCACTCATTGCACACTAAGCCCTGTGTGAGAGGCAAGGGCATGTAACAATGAATAAGACAGACCATGCACAGCCCCTGTGTTTTCAAGAGGGACGGCCCTGTCTGCTTTCAAGTAATCAAGCAAGCCTTTCCCCATCAGGTTTCTCAATGTATTTCTTACCCAATTACTATGGATGATTTTTTTCTATTCAAGTCCACAAACAACAAGGGGGCCTGGGAATCAGATCAGAGGTGGCACAGTTGTCTGATATGTACAAAGCCCTGGCTTAGAGACTCCACACAGGTGGGGAGGAAGGAAGCACAGTATGTTCTAACAATCCAACTACTCCACATTTTTTTGTGTTATTTGTAAAGAAGACTCGATGCATATTTTATCCATATAGTAATTCATGCATTTCTTCTAAATTGCTAAAATCCTCTAAACATCTTTTTCCCTGAGACAGGATTTCATGCACTCAAGTTGGCCCCTGACTGTGTATACAGCTGAGAGTGATCCTGTGCTTCTGACCCCTTGGCTTCTGCCTCCTGAGTTGTAAAATGCTCTTCTTTATATAACAGACTGCTTCTCTTCCTCGCTTCTCCTCAGGTAATGCTTCCCTCAGATTCCTTTCCTTCACAGCTGTTAAGGCCCTGGAAGGTGGCTGGCAAGTCACACAGGAAATCTGCTCAAGCGCTCAAAAGCCACATCACCTAGTTCCAAGTTTCTCATGTCCAGGGCTCTCAAATCAGATGCTGTCTAACTTGGACATATTTCAATATTTGTGAACTTTGCAGGTCAGGGAGTTATAAATGATTTCGAGATTTGCAAGTCTGTAATCTAGGTGTTTCTTGAGTCAAACTGTCCAGTTTATGATCAGACCATCACAGTTAATTACTTCTTTTCTGGATCTTATTTTTAATGCCTGGAAGGTTTCCACAGGGAAGAGAGGGCCTGAAAGATGGATGGCTCAGTGGGTAAAAGCACCAACCTGACAGCCTGAGTTCAATCCCTGGGACACACATGATAGAAATAGACAGTTATCCTCTGACCTCCACACATGCATGATGGTATATGTGTGCGCCCATACATATACACAAATACATATAAAATAAATAAATATGTACAAAGAAAAAGAGAAGGGCTAGAGAGATGGCTCAGCATTCAAAAGAACTGGCTGATCATCAGAGGAACACAGTTCAATTCCCAGCATCCAGTGGAAGCCCACAGCTGCCAATAACTCCAGTTTCAGGGGCCCCCACACACTATTCTGGCCTCTATGGGAGTAGGCACATGGGTGTACATACATATACATGCAGGCAAAACATCCACCCACAAAAATAAAAATAAATAAATCTTTAAAGAATAAAAGAGAGGGGGTGGGTGGAGGGGCAGGCAGGGAGAGAGAGGGGGGAATCTAGATCCCCACATTTTCTTGTTCTTAAACATCTATTTTGTATTTACAAAAACCTGAACCCTTCATGCCTCTAACATTTCAATCCAAGAAAGCTTTCTCCAGGTGACTATAGAGAGACACCTAGAGAATGTCACTGTCACTTAGGCACTGGCTCACTGGTAAAGGAAGAATGCTAGCCCTGCCCACACAAACTTGCAGACAGCTCTAGCTGTCTTGAGCTCTAGCTCAAGAAGCCCAACTATGGGCTTCAGGCTTCATCTGGTGCAGGAGAGGGGAGCTAAGGCTTCTTACTCCTCATCCTGAAGAGTCTCCTCCTCTTCCTGGATCTGTAACTGGTTCTTCACAGGAGCCAGGTTCTCTGTCTTGGCGTTGTAGTTCCGAAAGCAGACATTGAGCTTTTCATCAAACTCATTCACCAGGTCCTCCATGGACTTGAAGCTGATTATTTCGGAGGAGAAATTCTCAAGCTCAGAGAGGGAAGGGTCCTCCAGGTGGTGAGGAGATGAACCATAGAGAGACTGTGGCTTTTCCTCTGGGTCCTCAGAGCAACAGGGCCTCAGATCCTCAAACTCTTCATCTAGACTCACCAGTGGGGCCTCCATCCTGGCACCACAGTACAATGACAGCAACTGTCAAGCTCCGTTTCCCTGGAAGAAATACACAGCACAGTGTGAGTTAGGACTGGGCTTTTGTGCCAGTTCTGCTGAGGGACCAGATCACATCTTCCATTACTCTACATCCCTTGGAAAACAAAGACTCATTCTCTCCTGTGCAAAACCTACATTTAAAAAACGCTTATGAAAGTAGAAGGGGATAGGATAAGAGCTTGAAAGGGACCAGTGGAAGAGTGACTGGGGACAGGGAAGGAAAAGGCCGGGGCTATGATCAAAGCACATTATATAAATGTGTAAAGAGATCATGATGAAACACAACTATCATTCTGTATAATTAATATATGCTAATATAATATGTCTAACAAAATAAGAAAGAAATCTTGCAGCTGGAGAGATGGTCTGGAAGGTAAAGTGCTTGCATGAACATACAGCCCTGAGTTCAGATGCCCAGCACCCACATAAAATTGAGGTAAGGCAGTGAGTGCCTGTAACCCAGTGCTTTAGGGTGGTGATGGGCAGATGACTCACTGGCCAGACAGTCTAGCTGAAATGACAATGGCCTGAGTGGACACACACCACCAACAATGACACATTATATATTTATTGCAATCTGAAGCATCTGAAGTTGCTTACTACAATGCTGCACTTAAGTCGTTCAAATACCTTTGCATGTCTTCCTAATATGAACAACCAAACAGGGCCAGCTGTGGAGTTGCTCCAAAGCCCAGTGATGAAGTATGCAACTACCAGGCCAGATGCAGCCTTGCATTCTTCTATCATTACCAGCTATGACCTTAAGCAAGTTACTTAACTTTTCTGTGCTTCCCTTTATCCTTTTTCAAGCCAGCAAAAACAACAGGATCAACCTCAGAGGTTTGATATAAGATAAAGGAATTAATACCACTGAGAAAAGTGAGATAAATGCCAATATTATTCAACATTCTCTCTTATTAGTATTATTACTCCACACCTTAACTATGTGTTCCAAAAATCTAGGATAGTGGTGGTGATGTGGTGATGGTCTCCTCCTCCTTCTTCCTCTTTCTCCCTCCCTCTCTCTCTCCACACCCCTCTCCTAGAAATTGAACCTGGGACCTTGTACATATGAAGCAAGTGCTCTACTAATGAACTACATCAGCAGCCCTATTCTGTTTTCTTTTTCTTTTCTTTCTTTCTTTCTTTCTTTTTTTTCTGAGACAGGGTTTCTCTGTTTTTGTTTTTCAAGACAGAGTTTCTCTGTGTAACCGCCTTGGCTGTCCTAGAACTCACTCTTTAGACCAGACTGGTCATGAACTCTCAGAGACCTGTTTGCCTCTGCCTCCCAAGTGCTGGGATCAAAGCCATGTACCTTCACTGCTTGGCTTCTCCAGTGCTATTTTACTTTTCCTTTTGAGACAGGCTCTCCTTAAGTTATCCAGACTGGCTTTGAACTCACTATTTAGCCCACACAGGTCCTTCTGCCACAGCCTCTTCAGTAGCTGGGATTATAGGCTTGTGCTATTATGCTACACGACCTAGTTTAGATGTTTTTTACTTGTTTAGTTTTTCACAACTTCTTATATCAAAACTCAACATGACCTAAACTTACTTGACAATGAAACTTAACATGAATATAAAGCTACTTATGGTCTGAATTTGTCCCACTGAGATTGTTGCACTGAAGATGTATTAATTTTTTTAATTACAGAAGGGAATGAGAGTGTAACTTAGCGGCCAAGCAGAAGGTCAGATTCTTGAAGCCCTGGGGTTCCATCCCTAACACCAAAAAATAAAAATGAAAATGAATAACAGAGCTCACTAACTCGGACCACAGTGGGTAGGATGCCAAATATGCAGTTACTCCCATCCAAAATTTGAAGTAATCTAAAATTTGAAACATGCCTGGGCCCACGGGTCAAGAAAAAGGATCCTGGATCTAGACATAATTCTTCTCATTAATAAATCCTAGAATGCATAAGTCATGACAGACACTTTGCAGCCCAATACTGGTGCTTTCATCTGTAGTCACAGCTACTCAAGAGGCAGGGTAGCTTGAACTCAGGCACTTGGGGCTAGCCTTTGGTCTACTGTCTTCTAAGAAATAAAACTCCAGGGCTCTAGATCTTATATCTTATCTTTTATGTGAAGATCCCTGTGTATTATCTACCCACTTAAAAAAATCTACACAGAATATAACGAAGCTTTTAGTCAGGAATGGAAGCTCATAAATACATTCTAGCTCTTGGGAAACTGGGGTTGGAAGCCTGCCTCAAGTTCCAGGCCAGCTAGAGTTACAGAGTAGTGAGCTCCAGGGATACAGAGTGAGATACCCCATTTAGAAGGGGTGGGGAGGCAGACAGAGAAAGGGGGTGGGGGGGTAGACTCAACCTATGTGCTCCAAAGGCCAAATCCACATCCATCTTGGGTATTGCACAATGGCTACAAATCTAGGCCTCCTTCTAAATCCCAGCATCTGTGACTCCCACACCCTCATCCAACCCTCTTCATACACTATCTTCAACAGTGATTTATGCTTCAATTCCCACATTCAGGGCCCTTCCCAATTTTAATCTAAATTCCTTGAAGGCACAGATGTCCTTTGGATATCCTCCATGACTTTAGCACACTGACTGCCCTGCAGCCAAGCAACCAATCAATGTGTACTAATTGAGACATGCTCTTCTGTCCCATAAACAGTTTCCAACAGCATTACCGTCTGCCACACTTCTACACATGTCCAACTTCCTTCCTGGTAATGCAGAAAGGTGGCCCAACTTTTCTCTTCTGGTCTGTATAATTCCTGGTCAATTAGATATGTAAATCAGAACCACACCCAACAGATACCAAAAGTCATGGGATTTGCCCAGCGAGTGCTCACTCCCTACCTCTATCTATGCAACTAAACTCTTAAGTAGGGCAGAGTGCATGCTGGGTGAGAACTGGTCCTTACTGTGATTTCCAGGCGATCAAGCCAGTTACCATGGCATCAAAATCCTGAGCATTTCTAGTTTGAAAAGGAGACATGATGGGATAATTACATGAAAGGCCTACCAGCCAGAAATGGTAGAGCTTGTCTGTATACCCAGAACTCTGGGGGCACAAGCAAGTAAATTGCCCCTGACTTCAATGCTATCCTGGCCTATGTAATGAGTTCTAAGCCAGCCAGGACTACAAGAGTAAGACTCTATCTCAAAACAAAAAACAAACAAACAGGAAGAAAAAGATAAGATAAACAAAATTCTTGGGAAAAGCACACACAAAACCAGATAGAGCAAGGCTGGAGGTGTAATTCAGTGGTAGAGGCCCTGGTTTCTATCCTGCCCTGGCTAGGTTATTGCCAACTTGGGACATGTTATTTGGGGAAGGGAACTCTCAATTGAGAAAATACTTCCATAAGATTTACTTGTAGGCAAGTGTACAGTGTATTTTCTTAATTAATGATTAATGTGAGAGAGCCCTGCCCATTGTGGGCTGTGCCACATGCCTCACCAGGTCATATAAGCAAGCAGGCTGAGCAACCATGGATAGTAAGGCAGTAAGCAATGTCCCTACATGGTCTCTGCTCCAGTTCCTGCTTCTAGGCGCCTGCCTTGAGTTTCTCTCTAACTTCCTTAATAATGAACTGTGATGTGGAAGCATAAGTAAAAATAAATCCTTTCCTCCCTAAATTGCTTTTGATTATTGTGTTAAATCACAGCAATAGGACCTGACTAAGACCATTCTCAACACAGAAAAATGAGATACTGCCAAGACACTTAAGTGCAGTGGCTGGTTGAGTGGCACGTATTCCAGCATCTGATTTCCTCATGAATTACTATAAAAATGCTGGCATTGAGCTAACACCTTTAGAAGCTCATTTTAATAGCTTTATATTTTTAATTATAGAAACATTGGCTTAATCCAATATACCCAAAGTATGACCATATTAATATCATATCAACATACAATTCATATTAAAAATACAGAGATCATTATATGTGTGTGTATATGTGTGTGTGTATGTATGTATATATATATATATATGTATATATATATATATATATATATTTTTTTTTTTTTTTTTTCCCCGAGACAGGGATTCTCTATATTGCTTTGGAGTCTGTCCTGGAACTAGAGCTCTGTAGACCAGGGGCTGGCCTCAAACTCACAGAGATCCTCCTGCCTCTGCCTCCCAAGTTCTTGGATAAAAGGCGTGTGCCACCAATGCCCTGCAATCATTATATTTTATACCAAGTCATTTGAAATGCAATATGGATTTTATAGTTACACTCTTTCTTTGGACTAGCCTCCTTGCAAGTACTCAACAGCCACGTGTCTAGCAGTCACTACATTACCCCAATACAACCTTAAAGCAATGTTCAACCAATTGTCAGTCACAAGTTCTTTCTCTATGGTATATGAACACCTACAGTCTCTTGGGCTGTACCTGTATTTCAGTAAAGCTGGTTTCCATTTTAAGCCATAGTATTTTGTTTTGTGGATTTAAAAACATCATTTAGGGGAGCATGGTAAAGCATGACTGTAATACTAGAGGCAGAACGTAGAGGCAGGAGGACCAGTTCAAGGCCAATCTTGCTACGTAAGACCTGTCTCAAATAAACAAACAAACAAATAAACCAGGTATGTTGGCACATGCATTTTGAGTTCTAAGCCAGCCTGGTTGACACAGTGAGCTCTGGGCCAGCTAGGCCTACATAGAGAGATCCTGTCTCAAATAGACAAACAGATGTCTAATAAAAATTAATTTTTTCACTTTTGCTTTTTGAAGACAGGGTTTCTCTGTGTACCCTTGGCTGTCCTAGGACTTGGTCTATAGACCAGGCTGACCTGGAACTCACAGAGATCTGCCTGCCTCTAAAGTCATGAGCTACTACTGCCTGACTAAAAATAAATTATTTAAAGGAGAACCACATAAGTTTCTCCAATTCTTAAATTCACAAGCACACCTTCAATCCCAGCACTCTGGAGGCAGAGGCAGGCAGATCTCTGTGAGTTCCAGGACAGCCTGACCTACAGAGTGAGTTCCAGGACAGGCTCCAAAGCTACAGAGAAAC